CACTAGACTCAACTAGGTCAAGCTACCCGTTCATACCCCCCTTCATAGTACGGCCAAAGGAAAAAACAAAGTCCTAAACTACTCTAAGTGTCTCTCCAACTTCAATTGACACTTAGAACTAGTTATCCTTAACCTTGTCGTTCATCCTTTGAAAACCGGAATGATTTCCATCGTAGGGGCATGACAACCTCAATTGCCCAATCGATCTCCATTACCATGACCTAACTTAATTGCTTCTGCAAAACACACGTTAGTCATAGTAATCTTGTATTGACATTAATCACCGAAATCCACTTAGGGGCCTTGATGCTTTCACACGCATCCTCCTCCCCCACTGCAGCATCCTCCTCCCCACCCCGGTGGCTCCTTCCTCCACAGCGGCGGCACCTTCACCCACCCCGACATCCTCCTCCCCCTACCCCGGCGCCTCCCTCCCCCACCCGGTGTGGCAGAATCGCCTAATCCAGTGCCTCTGAGGAGTACTTGTCTTCCATTAGACACTAAGTACTCAAGAGAGGACACTAAACTACGCAGTCCCGTCGAGCACACCTCAAAGAAAAACTCAAAAATCCACATTTTTCTATCAGGATCATAAATAAGAGAATAAAGCTTACAATATTTTTAAGTCATTTCTTACATCACTTTATTATAGTACCAGAATATTACCTCAATTTATTATAACAGCGGAATATAACAATGTTATCAGAGTTACAGAGGAAGCATGATTAATTTAAAGATATGGTGGAGTATTAACATAGCGGGCATTTATATACAAAAGATGCTAACATATTTTACATCTTATCTTATAAAAATATTTCGTGAGGGTTATAAATAAACACTACGGTCGTAGCGTAAAAGGAATCCCCAGAGCCCACCAGAAGGTTTCCCCATACAAGTGTCAGCTCTAAGTATCCTCCGATCACCTGTAACATGGGGAATAAAAACCTTGAGTACTCGATTGTACTCAGCAAGACATACCCAACAGGAGAAAAATAAAAGACTCCAATGATATACAAGGCTTATTTGGCTTGTGGGTTATTGCATTTGCAGAAGCATTACTAAACTGCGTCCTTATATTCAATTTTATTAGCAGTCATCATTAGTTCATTAATTAACCATTTTATGTAAGCACATATGCTACTTTCAAGCAGGTGGTAAGCAATTAGAATCATTTTATCACCTTTCGAGTTCCAGTTCTTACTACGGTGATAGACCATAGCCAAGTCGTACCGTATCACACGGCGATTCATGAACGATGTATCCCAGCTGGGTACCCCGAAACACACGCCCCGCTTGTACCCCAGGCATAAGCAAGACCAACCCACCACTCTTTTGTCAAGGGGTCCAGGTCCCCGTCCAAACTTGGACTCCAAGCCCCCACTTCTGAGTCCCGTACTCAGTGTGGTGCTTAGACCTCCACCATCCCCGCCTCCAATCAGTCGGTCCAGAAAGAGCCGGAACCCACGATAAGAGAGCAACGAGCCTTCTCACTCCCATAAGCAAGTATGTGCTCAGGATAATAAGTCTATGACCTGACTTCCATCCATAGCAACAGACGGTCCTCAATCGACACAGGCGGAACAAGTGCAATCCGAGCCTCGCTCGAATGCCAAACCAAGTCCAGATCCAAAGTACCATCCCGTCCGGTCTCTAATTATCAATTATATATATTCCCTTTGACAGTAATATAATAATAATAATAATATCTTTCCTATCTCTCGCGAGTGACATGTAATCACTCGACTTCTACCAGATCCTATAACATAGCAATCTACACGATCCTAACATACTAGTAGGACTCATATGATACACACACACATACTAGTAGCACCAGATTGAGGGAGTCAAGGCGAGCTCAGAGTTACGAGCAATTGAACTGCTACCACTCCTACCTGCCTTACCCCCAACCCTCTGGTCACGGCGGCGCACATGACCGGTGGCGAGGAGAAACCAAAATTGATCATTGACAGACCACGGCCGGGCTTGATGAGAATGCGACACCTAGCTAACTTGCTAAGCTACCCATCGGTGCGAGGAATTGGACTGGGAAGCCTCGGACTGGTGATTAAGAAAGGGAGAGGGAGAGCGGTGCACTGCCACCGTCACATCGTGGGAAGCGGCCCCAACAGAGATGGCTCGGCCACGACCCAACGAGACACGGCAGCGTGAGGATATGACCGCTCGAGCGAAGGATAGGTGGCGCGTCGATTAGCGCTAGACGGAGCCAAGAGGTGTGCCCGCGTGTGGCCCCGCGCACGCAGCAGCACGGCGTCGTGATGCAATATTTACGTACGACGTCGAGCTCGGGTTCGGTAGGTGGGTTGTGCGGTTGAGGGCGAGCGTTGCAGTAACCAAACAACAAGAGGACAAGACGCAGCCCTACAGGTGCATTTGGACAGCGCCACAGTCAGAAGCGTTCCACAGACGGCGGAGTGCGGCTACGGCCATGCCTGGCCTGGAGGGCAGACGACGCCACTTGGCTGATTAGTGAGACAGCGGCGCAGCGCATGGTAGCAGCGGGCGACAGCGATGTAGGTAGCCCACGACGGTGCGACATCGAACGCGGTGACCGCGTCCCTGTGCCCGAATGGCCAAACCACGTGCGAAGCACGAATTTTAAAGCGTCAAAACCAACCGCTTAGAGCCCAGTTGAGATTAAAACAAGAGTTCAAGATTCTAGTAGCCACTAAGTGCTTCTCATCCGAGCAACGAGCATGGCCGGAGAGTGAGCATTGAGGGAGATAGAGAGGTGCCAACAGGAGCTCGTCGCACTGAACACTAGTTCACGAACGGAGCACTGAAATCAGGGTTCACAGCGCGTTCTAGTTAAGTTAGGGCAATTTTGAGCGGACAACGTGACATCCAACACAATTTCGACCTATGCCGTGCTCAAGCTCTCACTTTGATGCAATCAACAATACCAAAACATGCAACTAGTGTGTAAACATTTTAGCTAGAATTTAAATGTCAAGATAGCATTGTCTTACTACTTTTCCATACTTAGGAAAGTTAAGGATTTCAATTGAGGCTAAGTAACCATTAACTTTTTTGTCGCAATTTTTAATAGATCTAAACCTTGTTAACTTTAACCAACAAATACTTCATGCAATAGTCCATACCTTATACTAACCCGTAGGAGCAAAATATTTAAACACCATTTAACTATTTTGCTCAATATAATTCGCCAAAAATGGTATTTTAACAATAGTTCAAGTGTTTGCCTTCTTAACGAAAAGAGCTTATCTTATCGTTAAATTTGATTTTTGAGCTCCCAAAACACTAGTTAACAACATTTATTTTCCAAAAGTTAAAGTTGCATTTCCATCTACTAAACTTGTACTTTAATTTTTATTTAAGTACTAAATACAAGTTATGTTTGATCCTTGTTCCTAGAAATTGTTTTTCGCCTCACGTGCATTATAAATTTTTAAAACCCAAAAACTTGTTAGTCTAATCCTTCTCGGACCTAAATCTTGGTGCCAAGCAAGCTCGTAACACCAGGGGTGTTACACCCGACGTCCTCCTCCCCCCACCCCGACAGTGCCCCTCCCCCACACAGGCGTCCTCCCCCCACCAGGAGCTCCCAATGCCCGCAGATCCGGCGGCCATGGTGCTCACACGCCAGGCTCTCTCTCCCCATATGCTGCAATTGTATGTTTCAATTGTTTCAGACGTTTCAGAGGTATGTTGCAGTTGAATCATATGGATGTTGCAAAAGTAGATCGGGGGATTTTGCACATGTTGCATATGTTGCAAGTGTTTCAGAGGCATGTTGCAAGAGTATATTTCGAGTGTTTCAGAGGTTTATTTCATTTGTGTTTTCCGAACGCATGTTGTAATTATGTTTATCTGGATGGTGCATATGTTTCACACATATGGTGTATGTGTTTTATTTGGATGTTGCGTATGGTTGCAATGGTTTCAAGTGTGTTTCAAATGTTTTTTTCTTGCGACAATTGTCTATTAGATATCCAAAGTGATGGTCCTTTGCTGGCAGACATTCACTTTGGAGCATTTTATCAGAAGACACTCTGGTTCGGTGAAATTAGGTCACAGGACACCGCGGACCGGTTGCAACCGGTTGAGGAGAGAGAACAGCAGTGAAATGACATTCTTACACCTGCCGCTTTCTCTTCCTCTCTCCTTTTCTCTTTTTTCTATTTGCTGTCCCTGCCACCCTCTTCGCCTCCCGCACCCACCGTCGCGCATCACGTCGTCATGGGCAGCTGCGCCTCCGACGCCCGTGCCTCCGGTGGCCCGCTTTGGCGCCGCGCCCTAGCCTCGCGCCTCCGATGGGCCGCGCCATGTGTAGGAACAGGAACTCCGGTGGCGCAGACGTGGCTAGCGGCTGGCCGCTGCCGCCGCCGCCACCTTCTAGTTTCACCGCTGGCACGGCCTCCAGCTCCATGAACAGCTTGTCCACGACGTCGAAGCTGAGCCTCGTGATGGTGTCGCGCTTGAACGGCGGAAGCGGTGGGTCAAAGGCGACCCCGCCCGCGGCGTGGGCGTTCTTGTCGAGGCACACCTTGAGGACGCCAAGCAACACCGTGAGGATGACGTGGTCGGCGGTGATCGTCGTCGCGCCATCAGCGAAGTGAAGGCGCACGGGGGTCTCGCTCTAGTCAAGGCGGCGGAGGCAGAGGCCGAGGCGGATGGTGCCCGGTGGGAGCGCCGCAATGAGGTGGTCGACGACGCGGGAGTACCCACCGGGGATCGTGACGTGGTCGCCGAGAAAGTCGCGGTACTAACCCTCGGCGACCGTGAGCACGCGCTCGGGGAACCCGTCCATGCGCTCGTAAGGGGAGTGGTCATTCCCGCAGGCGAGCGCGCCGGCGTCGCGCGCGAGCTCGTACATGGGGCTCCCGTCGATCCCCTGAATCCACGTGGCGCCCATCTTGACGCGGTGGCCGGCAAACTCGGACGTGAGCACCCGCCCGCAGCTTCGGATCCTGGCGCACGTCGCAACGGGCGCGTTTCGGAGCCACTGCTACTGGAACTCGATGCTGGAGAGCCTCACGCACGGCGTGCCATTCTTGGGCTGGCCCCTCGCCGCCAAGCAGTTCTACAACGTCAAGATGCTGACAGAGGAGTGGGGCGCGTGCGTGGAGGTGGCGCGCAGCAACCTAGAGAGCTCGGACGTGGAGAGGTCCAGGGTGGTCAAGGCGATGGAGAAGGTGATGGGGGACATGGCGGAGTCGGAAGCGCTGCGGCGGCAAGTGGAGGCGCGACAAGTGCTGAGCAGGGCGTGGGCGGAGGATGGCGGGTCATCGTGGGCGGCGCTGCACGACTTCTTTAAAGCCATGCATCTGCTGTGAAACAGAGCATGAGCATGGCAGTACGCGCACTGGACTGTCAATGCTAGCACAAGAATTGATCGATCACCACAGAAAAAAGAGAAAGGGAGAGAGGAAGAAGAAAGCGGCAGGGGCAAGAATGTCATTTCATCGCTGTTCTCTCTCCTCAACCGACTGCAACCGGTCCGCAGTGTCCTGTGGCTTAATTTCACCGAACCAAAGTGTCTTCTGACAAAATGCTCCAAAGTGGGTGTCCGCCAGCAAAGGACCATCACTTTAGATGTCCAATAGACAATTGTCCATTTTTTCTATTGTTTCAGAAGCATGTTTCAAGTGTTTCAGCTGCCTTCAGACGTATGTTGCAACCGTTGTATTTGGATGTTTCAAAAATAGATCGAGTATTGCATCTCTCCTCCTCCCACCTTCTACTGCATAGTCTCTCCCGGAGCCGGCAGGGCATTCATACAACGCCGTGGCTGGATCCTTCCGAATCGGAGGCGCCGCACGCCCTTCCCCTCTTGTCGCTCGGGCGGCGCGGGCCCCACGTGCAGCGCGAAACGGGCGCGGCGCGACAGGGGCCTGCGGAACGGGGCGCGGTGGCGGGATGGGGGTGCGAAGGAGATAGGCTGCAGATGGGGACACGCGCACGCATGCTAGCATTGTTTTCTGTGCACGAGTGCTGTTTTCTAAGGTGCGTCTGGAGGAGGCGTGCCGTATTTGGTTGGGATAAATGAACTACACATCTTTCAATTATGTGACGTAAGAAAAAAACTCAGATATCTTTCACCAGATTCACATTTTCCGATCTAAAATTACTTTTTATATTATGTTAATATTATATTTGCTCCTCCTTTGAACGTATGTACCCCCTGCGTGGATTTCATCATGTGGGCGCATCATTCTTCAAGTTCTAAGCATATATGATATGAATATGAATGCATAAACTTCATAAGTGTTCCTGCAACATCAACTTGCAATGAACAGTGACGCTCTCTACAATATACCAACAGAGTGGTCTGTATAATCAATCTGCGATACAAGATTACAACACGGTTATAATTGAAATACAACATGAGAACGTATTGTCCTATGTAATCTAAGTGGCAGTATGGCATATATGGCTGCTTTCTGTCGGTTGACAACATCAGAACCTGTAGCTTCAATACCACTTGTCCCACACAACCCCTACTTGCAGTGTAGGCGTGCACTTCATAGAAAGAATCTTCTAACCTTTTAAATTCATCAAGAGGAACAGAAAAAAAATCAGCCAAATTGTACCTTTCGTAATTGTGCAAAATTTAGGCCTTTAGTAATTAGACAAGGAATTTATTATTATTCACTAAATATAAACAAAAAAAAAACCTGAATGAAAGGCGTGCACATTCTGTTACCTGCTCCAGAGTTAAGAACATTCTCACATTCCATGACCCAATCCGACAAAAGTTTGCAATGAATCCCTTGTAGAAAGCACCAGGTCCCTGTGGAAAATAACCATCAATTATGCTTGGTTGGTGATAATTTTCTGCATAACACATGAGACCACATTCTATTCTAAATTAGCGGACAGAAAAACCCACTCCACAACAACAATGCATCTGCATCATCCAAAACTAGATCAACAAGGAAAAGAGCTATGGTTAATAGAAATATTGTAGCATGTTGAAAAATGTACACCAACCTAAGAAATATTTTTTTCCTAGCTTAATCAGGAAGTTTTGCCAGCAATAAAAAAAACTCATAAATAAATAAATTATACATACCAAGAAAAAATTATAATCAGAATAGGTAAATAAGCAGAAAAAGTATCCACCAACTCAACCTCTATCAAACTGAATGAAAAATGTAAATACCATGAAACTAGTCAATTTCAACAGATTCCATAAGAATAAGTTTATAAACAAAACCGATTTTGATGAGCTAGTAGATAAGGTAAGCCTAGGGAACTAAGAGTTCAAACAGAAGCCATGTCTTCTGTTACAAGAGTTTTATAAGAAATTTAGACTCACTTCTGTCAAGACAAGTCCTGAAGACCATGGTCCATCACATAATGTAGCTGGATTAAATAGATGGCTCCGTTCCTAATTACTAGGACATGTTTGGAACCGCTTAGTTTTTAAGCCATTTTTTGCTAGCTTCCCACAGTCAGTTTCCCTTGCTAAATTTCCAACAAGAGAATCTGGAGTGCAGTTTGAAACACATAGAATGGAAACACAGAACTTGCAGTGTTTCTAGTTTCTACCCTTGGATGAATTTCATACAATTGTTACAAGTTTAATTTGCTATCCACCATTTTGGTTGCCAATGATGAATCAGAATATAACATTGCAAGTACTAATGATGTTCGCACTTTGGAATTTCTCAACAAATCTTTGAAGAATCAAGATACTGCAGGGGAAAAAGGGGTCGGGTGGGGGTGGGGGAACAACTCCTTTGAACATTCTCTCCATCAATCCCTCAAAGTCATGCTCCCAAATTAGCATTCACCTCATCACTTCATGCACATGTTGACAAACTCGAGCATGATAAACCCTAATAGATTTGCTTTTGGACCTTAAAAGATTTGTGTAAATTGATGATAATATTCCGTGTTTTAGATTATGACCCAACTGAATGCACATTTTCTGAGCATTGTAATTCCAGGCCTCAATCATGAAAATGTAGCAATGTTCTTGGCAACTTTAAAGGCTGAGGTCTAAAGCTCAAAATATAAATTTTAGCGTAAAATAAGAGTGGATTATACTATAATATCATGACGGTCATTTGTGTAGTGACCTGTAACCGATTTTTCAACTGAATTAATGGTCAAAGCTCTACACTGGAATATGGAATAAGTTTAAAGTGACAAGGGTACAGGGTAGATGGATATTGACATACTGGATGCATACACATATGAGCTTGCCAACAAAGACCCAAGTGGAATGACTTCTTATTCTTGCAACAAGTGCGAAAAGATTTGTGGTAGAATAGAGCAACAGACAGAAGCAATTCAGAAAAAAAACAGGGAAAGGATTTCATACGTCATTCTTTAGTGTCTTGGCAAAACAATCAAGAGTACTTCTGTACGTTGAATCACCCATCATTCTTGATTTCACCTAAACAGAAGTCATGGTAATCGAATTTGTGAAAATCAAGGCAGGGTTCAGAGTGAGCTAAACACATATTGCAACTAGGAACTTGGTAGTGTGCATATCCAGAATTTGCAGAGCATACCACATCCACTGGAGAGCCAATGCAAACAGCGAAAAACCCAGCACCAAGTCCAGCTAAAAGATGGGTAAAAACGTTATCAGTAAACCCAGGAAGTCTTAGAAACATCTGCATGAACAGAACAAAGGAATGAACAATGATAATGAAATATAACGCCCACCACAAGACAAAAGAGAGTCAACAGGTACCTGTTTAAACTGATCGTAGCTGGCCAACTCAGCAGCGTTAATTATGGCATTGCGTGCGACATTTGGACCAAGGCCAGTCCACAAAGCTCCAATACCTTCCTGGAAGCATGAAAGATTTAAGGACCATGACAAACAAAGGAATAATCATCTAAACTTACTGCCCATGATTGTTAAAGTAGCCTGTCTGATTATTGTAGCATATGCATTAAGGGCTCCAGAATAACTCCTCTTGACGGTGTTATCCTTTCCATCAGCTTGCAACCTAACTTTGACAAGATCAGTTGGATTTGCCACAACAATCGCTATGACACCTGAAAATAGACACAAAAAAAAGATCATTTAACAATGTATGGTTCCCTCCATTGCTGAGCCAAACCCTTTAAAGTGAACCGACCTGATTTATTAACTCCAATGATAAAAACAGAAACAAAAAACTTGTGCATAGGACAAACCAGACATGAACCAAGAGAGGCTTTGGGTATGAATAGTAAACAAGAGGAATGATTTAAAGAATAGGTAAAAAATAGGAGTAAGGTTCCCACGATTCATTCTGCATCCGCATTTAGGGTGTATATGGTTTTCATCATTGACATTTTGACAGAGCTAGCTTGACTGTTAGACAGGCCTAGTGCTTATATGGTTAGGATAGATTGATTGATTGTTATCTAGTAGGCAAGGACCCCCTGCTGGTTCTGTTTCTATAAACCTGGGTCATCCTTGCCTATATATGTGTAACCTCATATCCCTGATAATCAATCAACTATCTTGCGCCTGATCTCTCATATGGTATCATATCTCTCACATTGACCCCTGAAAGTGAATCAACCTGGTTTCTAGCTACGTTGTCAAAAGGAGAACCACATTTTGACATGATAAAACTCAGATGAACAAAGGCAGCCATGTTTAGCTATGCAGGAAAGCAAGCAAGAGGAGATCCAAAGCAGAGATGAACAGACAGATGTCACGGTTCACATGATTTATGCTGCATTCAAATGGTAAACTGCAGAGCAAGTTGTGTATGGCAGTCTGGCAGATACGAGATAAGTTTGTTGTGTTTGCAATCTGAAAGAAGTTTAGTTATTTTAAGCTGGAGCGGAGGGAGCAGAATGTACAAACCCGTGGTAAGCGCAGCAAGAATCTTGCTTAGCAAACTGACATCACCCACAGCAGCACCTCCTACGAAGAAAGCCTTCACCTGCAAGTAAAGAGAAGGGAGATTTCATTTGTTATTGTGAGGAAGATGAAGTCACTTTGAATTGGAGAAGAGATGGGAAAGAATGTGGAGGAGCACAGACAGGCTCATACAAGCCGATGCGGAGGCCACCGTAGAGGAACTGGCGGTGAAGGCCAGGGATGACACCCTTCCAGAGCGCGGCAACCCCTTCCTCCCTGGCGATGCACATGATCGTGGCTAGCATTCCTCCACCAGCAGCAGCTGCGGTGGCTGGTGGCGCCGGCAGCGGCGTCTTCCTTTGCAGCTGGAGCCGCACTTTGGCTGTGTCCAAAGGAATGGTGCAGACCTGATTATATTCATTGGTAAATCAAAGCTGACTCCAAACCCAAATTGTTGACAGTGAGATCCATTTTGGCTGAGATTAAATAAAGATCCTTCCTTCCTATTTTCTT